TGTAACAAGGGTTTCTGGCGGTACAACTAAAACTTTAACTCACATTTTAAACTTATCATTCCAAATTGGAATATTTTCTATAAAAATGAAACCAGTTAGAGCTGCTCCATTGTACAAAACCTGAGACAAACACCACTTTACAAATTACAGGCCTGCTTCTCTGCTTTCACAACTCTCAAAAATTATAGAAAAACTATTTAACGACAGATTGAAAATATTCATAGATAAACATTGTTTATAATTGTGACTTATTATTCTAATAAATTGGAACAGTATGGCATAAGGCGGTCTTGAACTGGGTCACGAGTTCTTAAAAAAAAAACAGACAACAATTTGTGAAGACGGAGGAGTTGAAAACTCAATGTTTTGACATTGCTTGTAGGATGTCCCAGGGGTGAGTGTTGGGATCAAAATATTCATTCTTTACATCAATGATATTTGCATTGCATCTGAAGTATTTAAATTTGTTTTGTTTGCTGATGATGCCAATATTTTGGTTCCTGCTGAGGAGTTACAGCAACTTTTGGATATGATCACTTTGGAGGTGTAATTTTTAAGAAATCACGCTGTTTGAGAACTCTAACAGTCAAGTACATTTACAAATAGGGGTCAACATAGAGCAGTTTCATGAACACTAATTTCTTGGTGAAACAAGGGATTGCAAAATTTGCTGGAAACCTCTCATAAAACATTTCCAGTCCAAACTGTCTGGAAGTCTGTCAGTCCTGGTGAAAGCTAAGAACATTCTGAATCACAAATCACTACACACCATTTACAGTTCACACATTTTACCTTATCTGAATTATGGTGCTGAGGCTGAGTGAAACTTTTACAAATGCTCAATGCAATAAGAATAATTCATAATCTTGGTGTCTGTGTTTTTTGACCTTGTAGATTTAAAAACTTCACAAATAATGTACAAAGTAAGGAACAATATGCTTCCAGGATACATCCAGAGGATGTTCTTCAAAAGAGAGGGGGATTTACAATTTAAGAGGATAATTGGATTTAAAGACTCAAAGTATTTGCACTACAGAGAAAAATTTCCTTATTTCACTCTGTGGAGTAATTTTTCCAAGGGACTGAATACAGACCTAAAGCAATGTTCAAATTAAAAGCACTTTAAAAAGATGCACAAAGAAATGATTTTCATAAGGTAAAGGGAAGAGGGGGGTGTATCCTAATTACAAAACGGTATTGCCACTGATGTTCTGTTTAAATGTGATGATTTATTATATTGATGTACATAAGCATATGTAATTATGTTTATAGTTTTTTGGTTTAGGAATTATTCACTTTAGGATTCTAAGGAAGTAATTGGATGTAAATAACTTGCAAGAAAAGGGGTAGAATCAGAAAAGATGTTTCTCTTCTCTTGGCTGTAATTTGTTTTTATTTTACATGCTCGAAATAAAGACATCAATAAATCGCGCCTTGTGGATACACAATACAAGGACAAAACTCACAAAAAGATTAAAGAGGACTCCAGAAAATGGGGAAAAATGGAAAAGTGATTAATGATTTCTTCAGACTTATAAAAAGAGTCTGAGTCATTCAGCAAACAGTAAGAGTTCATTTAAATGTAGACTATCATAAAACAGTCAAAGTTTTTACTAAAACACAGATCAAAATTAGAATATATATTAAGCCACTGTGAGGAGTTTTTCGCAGGTTTAATAAAAGAGATTAACTGACTCTTAAGCGTCCTTATTGTTTTCAAAAACAAACAAGACCATCAGTGACAGGTAGGAGCTTTCAGGTCTAATGGCAGATAGCAGGATAAAAAAACACTGTCCTTACTTCTAACAACAAATCTGGCTGGCGGTGACACTAATGACACACTGAAACTTTTAACTCTTATTATTGTATGCCTGAGATTTAACTAACCAAATAGTCCACATTCATATGAAAAACACTCAAACACTGTCAGAAGAACTCTGTAAAGCCATGAGTGCACTGTTGACAAATTTTATTCAACACCACAGAGGACAGAGGATGGGATGGAGAAGATGTGTTAATAGCATAGACTGTATATACCATGGACAATTTGGTTCCGCCTACCGCCTGTATGCAGATTTGAAGCCAAAAAACTCCTGAAACCAGTGCTGCGCAGTAGCGATGCGCACATTCGGCCACGCAGTCGCCGAAAGTCGCTGTGATGATGCTCGGCTCAAACAGCGTATCCCCCGGGTGAGCAACACAATCCCTGAACGCCCATAGGCTGTATCAGGTGTCAATCATAGAAAACATGTACCCCCTATTAACTTTTAGAAATGGAGCTTCACAGAAAAAGAGGACTTGAGCACAAACTAGTCTTACAATAACTACATGTCAACATCACAAGCAGGGGGGAGAAAAAATTTTGTTCTGTGTAATAAATTTCTAAAGTTTGTCCACAGCCCCATAAGCTTTGCTGGCGGAGGCGGGATTTATGACCTATACTGTAGCCCATCATCAGAGAGTGCTGTTCTCGGAGTGGCTTCACCCAGCGAGGAGGCAGAATCTGTCCATTTTATATACAGTCTATGGTTAATAGTGAGTGTGGGAATACTCACTAAGTTTCTTATTTTCTTCCTTGAGTGCCAGCAAGTCTCTGGTGGATGTCAGGATCTGCTCCTGGCTCTCAGCAAGTCTCTTGTCAATGTCAAAGTACTGTTGTTCTGGGGGCATAGAGCATTCAATATGAGAACATGCACATAAAAAAGTGTATTTCCAATGCAAACACAGACTAACGGTATCTGTTCTCTCGTATGTCAACAGAGGTGACAGCAACAAATTTTGACAGCAGTAATCACTTAAAATCCATCACTACATGAAAAAGAACAAACTCTTTGGGATTTCATCCAGCATTTCCTGACATCGAAGACGTATTCTGACTTGGCAAAGATGGAGCTCATGTCTTGAACGTCGGTGGACACTATATTGCAGTGTTTCTCGATAGATACCTCAAGAGTTTTGATAAAAACCCAGGTTTCATTATTTCAGGGTCATATACTCATTTTAGCTGGGTAACCCTAATCTGGCCACTCTACCTACAGCAACAAACACGTGTTTTCATTTAATACAATGAATATAAATACATCAACCGCGGCGAAAAAACAATAAAAAATAAAAAATAAGTTCAATGGCTCCTCAATTTTCTGTTTATCTTCTATTATTTCTGTAGATATAACACAATATTCTTTAGTTTATTTTCATCCGCCAAAGTTAGCATTTATGTGACACCACAGCTAACGTTAGCAGGTAGCTGATAGCCTTGTTGATTCGTACTACCATTACATGTTTTTTATACTTATTTTATTTAATTCATTCAAAAAAGCTTAGAAGTGAAGTTTTCCTCTATGAATCGGTTACTTCTCATGTCTTACTAGCTACCCCTTGAATGTAACGTTAGCTACTTACCAACATCAGCTTTAAACCGCTCGTGCTGGGTTTTGAGCGCAACGTTAGCATTCTGAAGCTCCGTTACAAACTTCTCCAACTTGTTCAGGGTGCTTTTCGGTAGTTTGTTTAACTCTGTCCGCTCCAGAACCTGCAACAGGACAGCCGCCATCTCCACCTGTGCGCCCTAAAAACTTCAGAACACAAACTGAAGGTTAAATTTGTGTCTTCTTTCGTTATCCTTCCTCACACCTCCGATAGACTTCTTTTTTATGTCTTTGGCTATTGGAAACCAGCTTAAACGTCCCATCACTGCCTCCTACTGGGCTGGAGTGTAGAATAAATCAAGAAAAATGTGAGAGGGACCCAGATGCAGCCAAGATGGTGGACGATGGCTGTGTCCGAAATGGCATACTACTCGTACTACTCCTACTAACCCCGCCTCTGAATTGAGTAGGCAGTGCGTTCACACTGTACAGTATGCGAATTTTGTGTATGCGAGAAATGCCCGGATGTATACTCAATCGGCTTCGATTTCTGAGTGTGGAACGGAGCTTGCTTCACGTACTGCTTCTGCCCCACAATGCATTGCGCACCTCAGCTGGTAATATGGCCTTCTTTCCCGAGGCTGAAAAGAAATAGATGGCATGTGATTGCAATAATAATTATATATATATAAATAGATAAACAATATTTAGTCAGTATACATTACACAATTTTTATCATTTTGTCATATTTTTATCTTTTTACCAGATTTATTTGTATTTTAAATTAGGATTATAGGTAATGTTTTTAACTATTCGTATGAATTGACTTTATTTATTTAAGTGTCTATTAAAGATGTATTTATTACATCAAGTTTGAGCATCTTCTCATCTCTGAATGCATCATCAAAGTGGTCACTCATATTAAGCACAGACCTCTGATTAATAAAAATTATTATTGGTAGAGAGCACATGGTTCAGAATATACAAACGGGGGAGTTTCCAGTTGACAATGTATGTGAGCTTTACTAATTCTTACTTGTGGTTGAAAATCTGATGGTTTCTGAAATTATCATTGTACATGGAAAGAATGTAGTCGAGAAATGATGTATTTGCCAAGGAATAACCGAACAAGGTCATAATAATTATGTTGTGTGTTGGTCATTTTGCAGCCCTCTGCTGCTGACACGCCTAGCAGGTGGTGTATAGCATTATCACCATGGATACACAGGTGTTTGTGTGATTTTTTTTCATCCACTGCTGCTCGGTTTGTGTCGCGTAGTTATTGATTATGAAAACGCTTGGCTATAATTTGGAAACGTGAAGGGGGAGCTGCTGCTGCCCGGTGTTTATGGTAAATAGACGCAAACACCCACCAAGCGGACGCTTCGGTCTCCGAAAACGCCAAGACAAATTTACAAACAGCCACTATTTCAAACAACTGGGCTCATAATCGTGATGTAAACACTTACTTTCTCGCTAGAAAAAATATTATTATTGAATGAATTTATATAATTTGTCAGGAATGCAGTCGTTCTGTGTAGCTTGTGGTAGGACTATTTAAATTTTCCCAGAATGCACGAAATGCATTCTGGGGTATTTCGTATGCATCTGTATGTAAACGCTCGGGCAGCCGCGGCATACTCAAAACATCTTTGAGTAGTCAGTATGCAGTAGGTACTGCTTGAGTAGGTAAGTAGATAGTAGGCAGTATGCCATTTCGGACACAGCCCCAGAAGATGAACTTCCGCAATGCTTCCGCAATTTTGCGGCAGAGAATAACTTCCAGGTCATTCTTGTATTCATTCAGCGGACGGGCTTTGCGATGCCAGAACAGTAGGTGGCGGTATGCACCTAAACTTTCTCACAGTTTGACTACTCAGTTATAAGTACTTTTCAACACGCAGTGTCATCCTCAAGGTTGTATTTTGTATTGTGCACTAAAATTAAATACAAACAACAATTTCAGCATGACATGCCTGTTTTGCGGAGATGGTTGTGCCTGTTGCTCTTGGAAAACAATGCTTTGAACAGGTAGACAGTTTAAGTAAATTAGATGCCCTAATTAACTGGAAGACAATCAATATATTGTACTTAAAGATATATTGTCATATATTGTCATTACAGTTATGGGGAAATCTTTGCCCACTGGACGAAGGAATGTCAGGAGCTTATTGCTGGAAAGCATACTCCAGTCTTCAGGCTTAAGAGGAAGGCCGAGCAGCAGGACACAGAGGTTAGAAAATTGCCCTCTAAAAACAGTATTATCTCAGTGGGAGTCCTTCAAAATGCACACAGTTGTATGGATCAACATTGTTTCAATGTATTTGGTAATTGATGTTACTTTTCAAATTGACTTGTCCAGGAAACCATGACACAGATGACATCTGATGTCCAAAGAGTGTGCATGGCAGATTCCATGAAATTCTGTGTCTACCAGACATCCGACACCACAGGAGAGAGGTTTGTTGCAGACTCAATTTAATAAATGCAATTATTGGGGCCTATTCAGTGATTTTCCATGAAGTGACCACTTTTACATGTAGTTTTTTTGCACGAATCATGCGGGAAAATTATTAATACATTCAAATGTGCTGCAGATGTATAATCAATTGGATAGCGTGTGTGTTTAATATTAAGTTTGTCTCTCATTTGATCAGACTGCTTTACCCTGAGGTAAAGTTTGTAAAATGGGTCCAGTGCAAGACATGCAGGGGCTGGCTGCATCAAGATTGTGCCGGAATTGACATGGAGCCATTTGACTGTGGCTGCGAGGACTCCATTGAGCATCCTCGGTATAACATAATTTATCAAAGAAACATAGTATCAGTCAAAAATACGAGACGCAGAGGATGAAAAAATGAGGGCTTGCTCTTTTTCTTATTTCTCTGCAGGATCAAGGATGCTGTTGACAGTGGAGGAATTGGTGCTGTCTTTTCTAAGACACAGATCAAGGTTGCTTTTGAATGCACTATCAGTTGTTAAAGCCACCGTTTCTTTTTCAGATGATTACATGTTTGTCTCTTGCTCTTTGGTTTCAGACATTACACAATGATCTGCTTTCTGGAAACATCCGCTCCGGCAGGATGTTTCTTTGGAGGAAACCTGCCACCTCACTCCGGCTCAAGCAGCATCTGAAGATAAGGACACTATGTTGGAGTGAGCAGCGCATAAGTAAAAATGCCATCCATCATGAGTATTTTTGCCTTCAGAGGTGTTACATTTGAAAGCTGTTTACTTTCTATGTTTTTCTTCAATAGATCTTCAAGCTCCTGCGGTTACAACGACCATATCTGACAACATCAAGAGAGGCGAGATTCACTTGCTAGATTTTGTCTTTGATGTCATGCTCCCAGAGGTGAGTAGATCAAACTATATAGCTTGCTTTGAAAATTGATGATATTGTCAAGAGGTTGTTTTTATTCATTTGGAAAGCTCAAGAGCAACAATTAACCCATACTGCATAACTTCAAATATTCACATTATTTGACTGTTTATCAGCTTTTGATCAAAGAACTTCAAGAGCATGGCATCACCCGACTCAGGGCGGAGCAGATGATGACCTGTGGCAGTCTATTTTAAGCCCCCCATCACACACAGACAGCAACGCTCTCAATTATGGGATGTGGAAGCCTGTATATGTATTATTATATTATATATATATATATATATATATATATATATATATATATATATATATATATATATATATATTAGGCCTGTTGCGATTCACGATTTTAATCGAAATGACTCGTAATAGACGTTCGATTCAACGTATCGAAATCACAACGTGAGTCGCGATGCACTTCCGCGCACGTCCGAGGCTCCGAGCCATGTGGTTTTGTTATGGGTGTGTGTGGCTGCTGGCTGTGGCTAGGCTATCATCAGACAGTCAGATCCCAAACCAACACTCCTGTCCCATTGGACGAGAACGAGTCACATGAGTTATGTGTCCCATGGGAGGGGAGTATTTGCGTTAGGGCTCCCACTGTCTCACTACACCTTGCCTTGACGCATGCGTGCTTCCGACATGGGCGAGAGAAAAAAGGAGAGGCGATCGGAGTAACAACAGAAATGAATGAGAGCGAAAGCGAACAGACCGCAGATATATATTACAGAGAGATACACAGCGAATTCAATTCACCATGGCCACTGCGTCTGTAAACAACGACACCAAGAATGAGCCTGTCCCCAGAGAAGAGCTGGAAAACCCTCCCGCTTCATACAGGTCTAAAGTGTGGAAATATTTTGGCTTCCCTGTACATTATGAGAGTGAGGGCTCTCGACGGGTCGTAAGTAAGACGCATACTGTTTGTCGACTCTGCTATATGCGAGTGCCGTATCCCTCCACAAGCAACACAACGAATATGGCACAGCATCTCAGCCGTCACCACAAAGATGTGAAAGAACCACAAAACCTGACGCAGCCCTCAATCAAAGACGCCATTAAGAAAAAAGAAAAGTTTGCACCAAATTCGGCTCGCGCTAAGGACATAAACAGCGCACTTGCTGTGATGATAGGAGCAGACATGCGTCCGCTTTCATTAGTACAGGGCCCTGGCTTTAGATATTTTTGCAGGGTTCTAGAACCACGCTGGCAAATACCAAGCGGATTTTATGTGAGCACAACCTTGATGCCAGAATTGTATGAGAATGTGAAGGCTGAAATTGTTGAAGGACTGAGCTGTGCTGAATCCATTGCCATTACAACTGATGGCTGGACCTCTAGAGCAACAGAAAGTTACATCACAGTAACAGCACACTATCTTAATGAGAACTGGGAGATGAAAAATCATGTCCTTCAAACTCTCCCAATCTATGAATCCCACACAAGTGAGAATTTGTCTGATGTTCTGACAAAAGCTGCAGTGGAATGGAAATTAGAAAGACCAAATACCAAGATCCCTGTGACAACAGATAATGCCAAAAACGTTGTCAATGCCACAAAGCAGGCTGGGATGTCACCACAGATAGGATGTTTTGCACATACAGTCAATCTGGCATCACAGAAGGGCTTGGACGTGAACCAGATGAGCCGTATTCTGTCCAAAATCAGGAAGATAGTGGCATTTTTCCACCGCTGTACAACTGCAGCAGCAGTCTATGGTGGCAAACAAAAAGATCTCAAGCTGCCCGATCACAAGCTAATTCATGATGTTAAGACACGATGGAACTCCAGCTATGAAATGATTGAGCGCTACCTAGAGCAGCAGGCTGCAGTTTATGCTGCACTCACAGAGGACAGCGTAAAGAAGAATGTAAAAGACCTCATCACCCTCACTGATTCTGACATTAAAGTCATGGAGGCAGCGGTTGAGGTGCTGAAGCCCTTAAAAACAGTCACCACTACTCTGAGTTCTGAAAAACAGCCAACTGTATCTCTGATCCATCCCCTCCATCACACAATCCTGACATCTATGAGACCCACTGGCACAGATCCACCCACTGTGAGGGATATGAAGAATGCCATTGCAGCTAACTTCAAGGACAGATATTCAGACCCAGCAACTCAACAGTTCCTGAAACAGAGCACTGCACTAGATCCTAGGTTCAAGTCCCTACCCCACCTGGATGACCTCTCCCAGAGTGAGATCTTCAAAAGTCTGACTGAGCAAATCTTGCAGCAGCATCCCACAGAGGTATGTGCTATATTAATTTTAACAATAATAATTTAACTAAAATGTAATATGTATTTTTTTATTGTTTTCATTGACTTGTTTAAAACTAAACACTATTCTTAAATATTTAAAGTCATATAATTATTTTTTAATATGTCATGATAAAAAATAGCTCACCAAAGATGTTGTCACAAATGTCCTCAGTCATAATAGAGGCACACCTCATTTATTTTCTGTTTTGTGTTTCTGTATTGTGTGACCTTTTAGGCCCAGGCCTCTGGAGAGGGCACCAGGGAGAGGAGCCCAGCAGATGATTCAGAAGCTGCATCAACATCTGCTCCCCCCAGCAAAGAAGACAGCACTCAGTGAACTGTTTGGCAATTTCTTCAGCACAGCCCAGCCCCACCACACTACACCAGGAGCCCCCATACCATTTCCTCAGGTGGTAGAAGAGGAGATTCAGCACTACAGGAACGCCATCCTCACTGAAATCAATGAAGTGACTGGCCACACTCAACCAATCACTGTTGATTCAGATCCCCTGAAGTGGTGGAAAAAGAATGAGCATGTGTACCCACACTTGGCAAAGCTTGCCAAACGTTATCTTTCTGTTCAAGCAACCAGTGTTGCCAGTGAAAGAGTGTTCTCAACAGCAGGGGACCTCATAACAGCTGAGAGGAGTTGCCTCTCTCCAGAAAATGTGAACAAGCTCATCTTCCTTAAGAAGAATTTGCACATAGATATAGAGCTTGAATGAATGGAATGGCTTTGGCATTATTCACATTTCATGTTTGTAAAAGGAAAGCTCTCTGTTAGAATAATGTGAATAATACAGTAGTGGTCCAGTGGACTCACTGTGGAAGAATTTGAATTTGAGCCAAATGTAGCCAAATTACATTGTTTGTTGGTCCTTTTTTCTTACATGTTGTTCAACATTATTGGTTGATTGATTGTTACCTGAAAATAACTGTTACATCTTCTTAAAGAAGAATTTGAAAATGGAAGTTGTTAGGGCATAAAACCCTAAGTTTATAATTTATTTTATAATGTTTGTTTATGTTAAACATTGAATTCTTCTCATTTGTCATTAAAGTGACTGATTGAGAAAAAGTGTTTTTCTTTACAAATCAAGAAAGTGGCCTAATTAATGGTCGTACAGCTCACAATGCTGAAAAAAGGAGGTAAAAAAAAGTCATATCGGATCGAGAATCGAATCGAATCGTGACCTTAGAATAGAAAGTTGAATCGAATCGTGGAATAGGCGAATCGCAACAGCCCTAGTTGTGATGAATGACAATGAGAGTGTCTGGCCTGCTTAATGTCTCTGGCATCTTGAGGAGAGGCATGACATGTTCAAGTGAAGCTTTAGACATGTTTTCAAGAGCTACGGTGATTTCAGGGTTGCAATAGATTTTCTTCTCATCCATGTCTAGAATGTGGAGTCCACTCAGAGAGGTCACTCTACTCAGAGCAACGTAGACCATGCCGGGTTCAAAGATGTGTTTCAGTGAGAGCACGGCCAAGGACGTTGTCATCCCTTGAACTTTGTGTATTGTACATGAAAAAGCGAGCTTGATAGAAAACTGTCTTAGGACAACTCCTGTCTGTTTCAGATTCTCCTCGTCTCTGTCAATGTACACGATATTTTCATCAGCAACTGCTTCACTGGCTGCTGCACTTTGACTGTTCAGTTTAAGTCAGAGTTTTTCAACATGCAGATTTCCTTCTTTAGTCACAATTTTTGCAATGCGTGCAAATGTTTCATTGCAGAGACCTGACTGCACATTTATGTTTCTGGTTACCATGACATTAGCGCCGATGGCCCCTTTTTATCGATTCAGGCAACTCCTTTTTGTTTCCTTGGAAAGGTACACTTTGTCTCGTCATTCTCCCGGTGGTTGGATTTTTTTTGTAGTCGTCCGCATCTATTGTGGTGACGTCAGAGTAAAACACATCCAGTGTTTTTGAGTTGTGTTCCTCAACCTGTTTATTTGTTGCATAAACATGCAGTACGTCTTTTGGACATTGAGATGGGTCAGCTAAGGCCCGTGAAAGCAGAACTCTGTCTTCATGAGACAAAGACACTGTCTTTTCTTTGACACGGATTCGATTCAGCGTCTCAGCAAGAGCGACATCATCTTTCTGACGCATGATTTCAGTCAGTGTGACCATCTGAAAGTTGTCTCACCAGAGGTTGATCTGAGTCGGGTCGAACACACACAGGGGTTTCGACTGTCTGACAGGTGGTTGCTGGTAGAAATCTCCAACAGTGAGTACTGACATTCCACCAAAGGGTCTCTGACTTCCTTTGATTTGTTTCAGTCTTGCATCCACATAGGCAAAGAGATGTTTGGAGACCATGGAGACTTCATCAATGATGAGTATCTCTGCATTTGAAAGCTCTGCCCTGACTTCGTCAAGTTTGTTACCAAGACCTTGAAAAGGAGGTTTGAGACTTCTGGGCAGCTTCAAGAGACAATGCAATGTTGTGCCTGAAATTTTGAATGCTGCAGTACCAGTGAATGCAGTCAAGAGAACGGTAGGTTTAGAGATGTCTGCTTCCTCTGCATTTCTTGGAAGTCTGCTGAGTATTTTAGACACCTCTGCATGGATGCATTTGATTAGGTGAGACTTACTTGTTACGGCGCCACCATTAATGTACAAGAAGAACTGCTCTGGTTTTAAACCACAAACACATTTCAAGCACCAGTCCCGGATGGTGTGGAAAACTGAAGCTTGCGTTTGGTTCAAGTTCTGATACATCTCACGCAGCACTGCAGGATCAATCTCAGGAGCTTCGATCGTGACTGCAGATTCTTGCCTCACGTCTGACCTCTCATTGTAGTCTGGAACATTCTCCTGTACGTCTTCATCAGCTTCTCTTTGTTTAAGTTCATCTAAACACTCGAGCCGTTCGATCTCACTCTCTAGCGCCAGGTTGCCCCATTTGTTTAGCAACATTCCTCTTTCTTCAAACTCTTGAATGTCACTGTCAATGGACTCACAGTGTTTCTTATGTTTTTCTCTGTTACGTTTCACAATTACCTTCACGCGCTAAGGATGCTGTGATCCAGGTAACCAAACAGCTGCATGGTCGTGGAAGGACTGGTAAGTTGGTAAGTGGTTGGATTTCAGCTGGTTGTCTGAGCGATAAGGAACGTACAGTTTAAGCAATGTGCCATAATACAGCTCCGGATCTTTCTCAAGGGAAATGGGTCGATATCTGATGACAGCATGTTTTTCATCATTTGCTCTCTTCTGGACAAACCCCATCTCATTCAGTAGGCGATGACAGTTTTTGCCTTTTGTCTGTTTTCCGTAGACAATTCTGCAGCTTGATGCAAAATCTGCCAAGCACATTGCCTCAAAGTCTGGTGTTTCTGGTCTGCATACATACTTATCAGGTAACCCTGTCATCCACAGATGTTCCGATTCTGAAGGTTTGTTGTCCAGGTGTGACAAGGGGTAACTCATTTTCAGTGCGTTGTCATCTGTCTGCACAAACACCATGCTGCATGAACACTGCTTCATGTGTAGACTGCATGCACGAGCAACACACTCCTGAGTGCTTACCTTTCTTTTTTTGGAGTAGGCCTGCATTATTGGTTTCATTTCATCACTTTCGTTGACATCTTCCTGATGTGAGTTTTGTATCACCATTTTCAGATATTCACTCAGACCATGTTCCGCCTTGCTGATGTAGCTGCACATGTACATGATACAGGAGTATGGGTTGAGAATGAATTGGATATCCATGTTGGCATTCCAGGCTTTAAGAAGGTAGGGGTTGTAGCCATTTACCCAAACGTCTTTGGGACCACGCTTCAGCATCACTTGACTGCCGTTGGTTTTGCTCTGCAAACACCTGTTGTATTGAGAAGTCTGAAACGACAGTTTGCACCACTGTATTTCACACACGTCTTGGAGTGGTTTTTGCTGTGCATCTGAACTTCTTTGACTATTTTGTACAGTTCTGGGTCGTCGTTTTCATCGGGCAGCTCAGCTTTGATGAATCTGGCCACAAACTTACACACCTCCTCATCAGAGCATTCTTCAAACACAGGTGTGCCTGCCACCCATACCATACCGTGAATGTCTGGGCTTCCTCTGTGCTGAAACTCGAGCCGGTAAAAGTAGTCTAGTAGTCTAGTAGTTTTACTGTGTGTTTACAAGTTATTGTTTTGAAAATATTAAAGCAATCTTTGAAGCAGTTATATGACAATTTCCCACTTCTTTAGACAGTCTGTAATGATATCGCAATTCAAGTGTTTTTGCTAAATGGCTCTTCTGAACCTTGAACAGATCATGTGTCTTGTGTCTCTACAATTATTGTATATTTGGATTTTTCACAGTCAAGCAGAAGGATCCTGGTGAAGAGGCTCACCAGGATGCACACCATGTCATAAATTATGTTTGCTGTATAATTATCAGGCTATCAGGACATCAGTCTATATATACATATTACTGTAAACTTCAGAATTAAATCAGAACAAAACAGTAGTCATAAATAATACATAAAGGTTTTATTTTGGTTTTTAGCTCAATAATAAATTCGATTCAATTCTTACGGAATGAACGGAGCGAAAAAAAAAGCTTCCAGCGACTAAATCCGACTACCGGAAGTACCTACCGGAAGTCCCTTCTAACGAAAAAAATTGATCATTGGAATAACCTTCTCACATGTTGTTTGGTTTTTTACCTAAACAAATTAATTCCGTCAGAAACTTACAGCATGGATGTGACCAAAAAACTAACTTTTGGTGAAAGATTTCGGCGCCGGAAGTCCCCCAACGAGAAAGCCCGTCCGTCGGAATGAATACGGGGATGACCCGGAAGTAATTCTCTGCCACAAAATTGCGGAGGTATTGCGGAAGTTCATCTTCTGGGTCCGCCATCTTGGCTGCAGCTGAGTACTCTTGGGGAAAAAGTGGGCCAACCATTTTTGAAATAAATTTTGTTATTTTCATCTTTAGGGGATCTCAGTTACAAGAATATGCAGTAAAATGTAGCCCATCTTTACTAGTTTAACAATTTTACAAGAAATGTCCCGGATTCCAAGCAAGAGCCGCTCAAAGGAAGGTTGTCAAGTGAAGCAAAACATTCCATTTTGGGAAGATTCCAACATAGCCTACTAAGTTCATCTGGGACATATTCACAGTGCTACACGTTTTTACATTTTGTTGTGTTACAGCCTTATTCCAAATTTAATCAAATTCACTTTTTACCTCAAATTCAACATACAATTACCCATACTGACAAAGTGAAAAAAGTTTGTTTGAAATTGTTGCCAATGTATTAAAAAGGGGGGAAAATATGTGCATAAATATTCAAAGCATTTGTTTGATACTTTGAAGATGCACCTTTGTCTTTTTGAGTGTGATGTCACAGGCTTGGCAAATATTTTTTGGCAGGTTCTCCCATTCTTCTTTTTCCTTCTCAAAACCTCTGGAGCTCCATCAAGTTGAATGGGGAGCGTTGATGCACAGCCATTTTCAGATCTCTCCAGAGATGTTCAGTTGGGTTGAAGTCTGGCCTCTGGCTGGGCCACTCAAGGATATTCACAGAGTTGTCCCAAAGCTCCTGCTTTGTTATCTTGGTTGTGTGCTTAGGGTCATTGTCCTGTTGAAAGATGGTGAAAGACATCACCACAGTATGATGCTGCCTCCACCATGCTTCACTGTCAGGATGGTATTGGAAAGGTGATGAGCAGTGCATGGTTTCCTTCAGACATGATGCTTGGCATTCAGGCCAAAGAGTTAAATTTTTGTTTCATCAGGCCAGAGAATTGTGCTTCTTGAGGTCCGACAGTCCTTTAGGTGCCTTTTGGCAAACTCCAGGCAGGATACCATGTGCCTGTAATTGACGAGTGACTTCTGTCTGGCCACTCTACCATACAAGCCTGATTGGTGGAGTGCTGCAAGAATGGTTGTCCTGGAAGGTTCTCCTCTCTCCAGTCAGCAACGCTAAAGCTCTGTCAAAGTGGCCATCTGGTTCTTCATCAACCTCTGTGTAAAAAAGGTCTCTGTGTTGTTCTTTCTGTCTCCACAGTATTTATGCTTGTGTCTTTGTTTACTTTAATTACTGGCACATTGAGATAATTGTATGTTTTA